GCTCTCATATGCTCTTTTGGAACTTGCTCATCTGTCGCAAGCAAGGTTTTGTTGCTACATTTCTGAACTTCAAAATTAGAAAAATCATATCCTGAAGCTTCTAATACAGTTGTGCAGACTTTATATTCTGCTTATACGTACCATTTTACATAAGTCTTTATGCCTTTTATTCAGAAAACAAGATAAAATTAAAAGAGAAAAATATCCCACATATACATAATACCTCTCAAAGGACTATTCTTTTGTGGGATAAGGTAGGTGGGAGAATGGGAGAGTAGGAGACCCATTAGGATTCAAAAAGTGTAAGTAACTATTATTTTTAATTGGGGCCACTTGGACACCAAGATATTATTGCCTTTCTAAGAGATGCTTGCTCTGTGGATCTGATTTCCTTAAATAACTCATTCCTATATCCAAGTTTCTACTGACAAATGCACTAATGTCCTAAAGGGCATGAAGGATATTAAAAATACATATATATATAACAGTGATACAGTAAATATAAATAGTGATACAGTAAAACACTATTCTTCAAAAATATGTGTGAACAGTGATACAGTAAATCACTGTTCTTTTACAAACTGGGTCCCTTTTCTACTTTTTATCTGCATAATAATTTATTTTATAACTTCTATTTAGAATATTGGCATATAATAGAGGTTGATAGCCTGATTTTTAATTTAAACACTTATCAGTCAAATAGTAAGTACTTGTGCAGGGTAGAGAAGAGTTAGTATTTTCTATTATCTACGTATCTCTAAAAGACAAGAAAATTTCTGTGCATTTACAGACTACAAATATAAAAGTTAAAGCAAATGCCTTCTAGCTGGCATAATCTTAGGAAAAGGCAGACTAAAGTATTATAAATTGGTAGCAGAGACATGCAAAGTAAAGACATGATCATCTAGATAATATAAATCAATTTTCTATTCTTTTGCTAAAGCCTAGACCCCACACGGCAGCCTGATGTAATTCCATCACCGTGCTTAATTACTTGGCACTTGCACAGCCTTTTTATTTTTGTGTTACTGTAATTCCTGGTAATTCATTCAGAAGAAATAAATTAGACAGCTTGCCACTCAAACTAACCACCATGGTGCATTGCTGCCCCACTCCCAAAAGATGAGTTAACAGCTCCTGGACATTAATCTAGCCATTTTTTGATAACGAGAGTATCTCTTTGCACATAATTATGATAAAAGTTATACACATTGCAAATGTAATTATCTAAGTCCTCTTAGAATTTGAAAGTCGAATTAAAGAAAGTTTAAGATACTATAAATCTTAAGGAATTAGTTTAAAAGTGTAACCCAGTCAGAGTTTGAGATTACATTGAAAAGTGGATATATTGAAAAGGATTGCAGAAACATGTCTCTCAGCCAGAGTTTAGTTGCTCACAAAACTGAATTTCAATAAAATAGATGAAAAGTGGTAGGCAGAGAGGCTCAGAACTATGACTGCTGAAGAAAGAGAGCTAATTCCATATCCTTTTTCTAGATGCGCTGGAATACGCTTGTGTCAGTGACAGATGGCCGCCTTGTGCTACGTCAAGTCCAAGGTAGTGGTAAGACATAACTAGGAAGCAGTTACCAGAGACAAGACAGGATAGGGTTTTTACTGCATCTTCTGTTGGTGGCTTCTGCACTTACGCATAAAATTTTCTCTGACCTGTTTACTTTTATAGCCTCTCTTTGCTTTGTTTCCTTTAATATAATGCATGTTTAGGCTATGCTTTTTTTTTCCTTTTTAAAAAATTTTTATTTTTTATTGTGTTTTAGGTTTTGGGGTACATGTGAAGAACATTCAGGATTGTTGCATAGGTACACACATGGCAATGTGGTTTGCTGCCTATGCTTTTTCTTTAAATATATGAGCAAATCTATTGGTGTAATGTACTCATTACCCTAAAACCTATATTGTAATGGACCTGAGGATCATAAGGTGGAAGACCAGAAGAAAAAGAAAATGCATACAATGCATACATTTTTATCTTAAAACAATTCACTTTTTGTTGTTGTTGTTGTTGAATGAAGTCTCACTCTGTCTCCCAGGCTGGAGTGCAGTGGTGCCATCTGAGCTCATTGCAATCTCCACCTCCCAGGTTCAAGTGATTCTCCTGCCTCAGCCTCTCGAGTAGCTGGGATTACAGGTGAGTGCCACCACACCTGGCTTTTTTTTTTTTTTTTTTTTGTATTTTTAGTAAAGACAGAGTTTTACTATGTTGGCCAGGCTGGTGTTGAACTCCTGACCTCAGATGATCGACCCATCTAGGCCTCCCAAAGTGCTGGGATTACAGATGTGAGCCAGAGCCACCACGCTGGCCATAAAACAATTCACTTTTAAGATTATGTTCTTGAAAGATATACTTTTGACATAGCTGAATCTATTTCCTTCAGGCAGATACAATAGGCCTTCTTGGGTAAAAAAGGTGTAGTAGTCTGTGAGACTCACCAGAAGGAGAAAAGAAATTATTCATTAATGTGGCTGAGGCCAGGGTAGTAAGCAGATTCATTTTAAATTCTAGCAGAAGAGGAATACCTGAGAAATGCTTATGAAGTTACATCATCTATTTTTCCAAGCAATATTCTTCATGTCATTCCATCTTGCAAAAACCTTATGAAATAGAATAGCCATATGAATGAGCAATGAATAGACTTTGTATTAGATTGGTAATCTTACTACTAGTAGATTAATTTACTTGTATTACTGATGTTTTAAGATAGGATTTTTGTAGATATTTATATACTAACAAAAAACTATTTTTTCTTTACCCTTTTTCCCAATTTGTTTTTTAGCCTCAAAAACATTTTAATCCATGAGAGAAATACATGGGCTATCTTCAGCATAGAACACAAACTTTGCCTACTTTTCTCAAGTCCAGTGATTCAAGTTTGACACACCACACCATGGTGAGTGTGCCTTGTCTTTACACGTCTTCCCAGTAGCACTAGAAAATACATCCAAAGGCATGTGGGCAAGGTAAGCCTTGTAGCAACCCTTTGATAACTTTGAAAAACGCTCATCAATCAGGAGGAAAGGGGACAAAGGAGAAGTGTTTTCCCCTCGCATGTAGTGTTTTTTTAAAGATATTTCTTGTTTTTCTCTAAATCAAACTCAGACTTACTTTGTTTACAATGAAATACATTGCACAGTGCCATAGGCATAATCAGACTCAGATCTCAACAATGTATATGATTCCATACCCAGTATAAATAAGGATTTAGTATGAACTCTATCTCTGAGTGAAAATAAATAGCTCTGAAAAGTCAATTATTCTCATCTCCTTTTACACTTTGCCTTCTTTTCTTTTTTCTTTTTTTTTTGAGGTGGAGTCTTGCCCTGTACCCCAGGATGGAGTGCAGTGGTGCAATCTCAGCTCACTGCAACCTCTGCCTCCCAGGTTCAAGCGATTCTGTTGCTTCAGGCTCCTGAGTAGCTGGGACTACAGGTGTGCGTCACCATGCTTGGCTAATTTTCTGTACTTTTTTTTTTTTGGTAGAGATGGGGTTTCACCATATTGGCCAGGCTGGTCTCAAACTCCTGGCTTTGTGATGCAATCATCTCAGCCTCCCAAAGTGCTGGGATTACAGGCGTGAGCCACCACGCCCTGCCTACACTTGGGCTTCTAATAGCTGTTTTATGTTATTCCTTTCAGAGCTCTAATACCAAGTTTGAATAGTCTATTATATCCTAGCTCTAAGTCTTTATTGAAATTTCATGAAAGAAGAGGCCTTTGTCAGCAATTCATAATTCTAAGTTACCAGCCTTTCTTAATTTCAGGTTGCCCCTCCTGGACATGTTGTAGACTCACTCATGGGCTTTTGAGTTAGAAAAATTATTGTTTGAAACTCTTCTCAGCTCTTGGCCTTTGACTTGGTCAGGTTACTTTTAAAGCCACATGATATTTTATTTTATTTGTCATCTTGAGAATGGAGAAAATGAAAGTACCAGCCTCACAGAGTTATGATATTTGAATGCTATATCCTAAGTGGTGAACCTAGCTTAGGGTCTGTTACCTGGGATAATGCTCAGTGGAAAGCCACGATTTTTTTGTGATGTTTTTGTTTATATACTGATAGCATATAAAGGAGTTTTTCAAGTCCCATCACAGCCTTCAAAGCTCCTCTTCCTTGAGTCTGAGCAATCAGTGAGAAAAATCTGACTGCCAATGAGCTTAGGACTGAGATGTGCCTAGGAGGTGTGGTCGTTGTTAGGTTTGATAATTAACGAAGAGAGTGATTGACTTCTTAGCACCCTGACTTGCAGCTCTAATGCCCTAAAAGACTAACCATTACCAATAGACGCTGCCCTCTAGTGTGCTTGTCTAATTATGTAACAACTATAATTAACACTTTAAATTTTGTAATTCCTACCTAAGAATGTATATTACCTGGTACAGAGCCTGGCAGAGAGGAAGTGCGCCTTCAATATATGATCATGGTTTATTGAGTCAATCGAGAGCTTTCCTTGGTGCTGGGTTAGAACTCTGGGAGCATACCTGATGGACTTAGCAAATCTGCAAATAGCTGGATATCCTTTGAGGTGATCTGGAACAGTTTGTCATTCTTCATTTCTTCTAACATTTATTAGGTTTATGTGTAAACTTTAGAGTTGGGACTCATAACTTCACTTAATCCTTACACTGGTCCTTTGAGAAACATGTTATTCCTATTCTTCAGATAAGAGATTTGAGACTTAAGCAATAAAGTGACTCACTAATAGCAATATTACTAATAGCAGCTAAGTTAACTATACTGTGGGAACCTGTGTCATACCTTAGCTGCTATCTGGATAGGAGCATGCCTTGCCTAGCATGGATTTGGGGTACTAAACTCTGTATATTCAGTTGTCCCCAAGATCCTTCTTTGAGAGCATGTTATTTAGAGTTATTCTTATTTTTAGGCTTGGGCCTTGTTGTGGACTAAGGGTCCAAAATGTATATATTGAAGCCCTAACCCATGATGTGGTTGTATTTGGAGATGCAGCCTCTAAGGGGGTAATTGAAGTTAAATGAGGTGATAAGGGCAGAGCCCTGATCCAACAGGATAATGTTGTTATAAGAAGGGACACCAAGAGAGATCACTCCCTCTCTTTCTACCATGCAAGGACACAGCGAAAAGACGGCTATCTACAAGCCAGGAGGAGAGTCCTCACCAGAACCAAACCCTGCTGGACCTTGATCTTGGACTTCCTAGCCTCTAAAACTGTGAAAACATAAATTTTTGTTGTTTAACCTGCACAGATCCATGGTATTTGTTTATTATGGCAGCTCAGGCAGACTAAGACAGGCCATCATAAGACGTGAACATTTTGGACCTTCTCTTGTGCCCTAATAAACAGAAATCAGGTATGAAAAAGGAGTAAACATATATTTTCCTTTATTTTTATTTGTAAGGTGTAAACTTTAGGTTTTTATTTATTTATTTGATGTGGACAATCACATTGTGTATCTATAATATAATTATATTGTTAATAAAAACTTACTTTAAAATTATTAAATATTCCAATTGATTTCTAGATGTTCAAATGACAAGATAGCATTTCTATATCATCAGTACATAAAATACTTCAGAAAAACTAAATTTATAAAATAATATGTATTATATTGAGAGAAAGAGAGAGAGAGTATTGGAAGAATATATACAAATGCAATGTGATAATGGGATATATTTGTGAGAATGCTATATGTAATTTTCTTTGTTTTTATTTATATGAATTTTTAATATTTTTACCTTTGAAATATGTAAAAGAATAAAAGTCATTGACAAAATCAAAAGTAACTTTATTATCATAGGTAGTAGGTATATATCTTTAACAGAACAGCAGAGAGTTGATGAATATTCAGAGGTATTATGTAAGAAGTAATAGATAAGAAGTGTCCTTTATCCAGAAGATCTATGGTATTCATTCTCAATTGCAAATATATATGCAAAAAACCTACAAATGAAACCAAGACAACTCATAATTCTCATGAATGTTGCATATGTAAATATGTTATTTGGAATAAATGTAAATAAGCTACATACAGGATGTCTTTCAGTTGGGTTGCTGAGGTGCTCACATTTTGCTTTTCTGATAGGTATTGTAGAACAGCTTTAGTTTTGTGGAGTCACTCTCCAGGGAATTATTAGGGTGATGTGCTGAGAGACAGAACAGTGGATTTGAAGTCAGTAGACCTGGATGGAACTCACTTACCAGCTGTGTCATTGAAAAGGTCATGTAAGATCTCAGAGCTTTAGTTTCCTCATCAGTAAAACTAGCATAACAATTCTATGTCCTTCACATGGTTTCATCAGCATCAAACTAAATGAAATAATATGTGTAGAGCTTTGTGACCTAGAGCACTCTATGCTAATGCTAGCTATCATTATTTTGAAGATGACTATTATAATCGAAGTTATATAAATTAAAGAAATGTGACAGAAGTTGTTCCCCTGAAAATGTTAATTCTTGCTGCTATAGTCCTAATTATGCTAGGGCAAATCCCTTTGAATATTCTTAATTTTTTGTCTGATCTTAATTAATGGATACCAAGGTAGGTACTTTGGATTTCTGGCAGACAGTAACACCTGGGGTTCAGAAACAGTAGTCTAAACAGGCTATAAGTTTGCAAGTTCCAACTTTCATTTATTTGATATTTATCATGAAAATCTATATAGTGCTTTCAGTGTTCCAAGTCCTCTGGTTACAGTAGCAAGTAAAAAAAAAATTCCTACCCTACTGGAACTTACAATCTGACAGGAGGAGCGAGAGGGCCAATAATGCAGTAGAAAATGAATATATAATATGTCAGTAATGAATATGTGATGTGTGAATTGTGATAGAGCAATAAATGTAGTAAGCGCTATGGAGAAAAAATAAAGCAGAATAAAGGAAGGGTCTGTAGGTCAGATGTGCAGGCAGCAAAGACTGAGATGGAGATTGAAGTTCAGGAAGTTTATTTAAAGTGTTTTGAAGAAGGAAGCAGGGCTGGGTAGAGAGAGAAGTTGGGGTCCGAAGCAGGCACAGGTGGGCCCCTGCCAACCCCACGGAGAACTGGAACACAGGGATGGGCCTTCCGATTGCCTTGACTTGGGGAATGGAGGCCAGGCCTTTATATTGAGGCAGTGACCAGAAATGGGATGCAAGTTGTTTCCTGGAAAGGGGACTGTGACTTTGGTGACATGACTTTCCTCTGTTGAGGGCAAATTCCTAGAAAGGGCTGACAGTAGTGAGCCTCCAGCCAGTAGCATGTGTTCATTACAGGTGTGTGTGTGTGTGTGTGTGTGTGTGTGTGTGTGTGTGTAGGGAAGGCAGGAGATGAGATTTTTTTTTTTTAAAGGATAGTCAAGGGAGCTTCTCTGAAAACATTTTGGGAGTAAATGTGAAGGATATGAGGGAGGAACCTCATGAAATCTGGGGCGTAGCAAGTATCTGGGGGATATATTTCTGAGGAAGATAATTTTGATCTTCTTTGGATTTTTCATATGGATTGTCGATATGAGTAATGTCTATGCTCATCTCTTGCTTTTCTGGTGGTGCTTATCATGCTAGTAGTAATAATAGTAATAACAACAATAATGTCATTTTTATCATGTAATTGCAAGCTTCACTTTTAGAAACTGATGTAAATATCTTTCATAAAATCTTACTAGAGTATTCATTAGCTAATTAGTTAATTTACTTATTCATTCAGTGACACAGTGAGCATTTATAAATTCCCACTGTGTGTCAGTTACCATGCGAGGCCCAATGGACACCACAGTGAGAAGGACGAGTCAGTCCCTGAGTTCAAAACTGTTAAGGTGGAGAGACTGACAAATAAAATAGGCAATTAAAAATACATTGCAAACAGTGGTCCAGTGTAGTTAAGCCAGGGAAGGAAGGTGCAGAAGGGAAACACTAAGCCATGCAACGAAAAACCAGGTGTATGAATATATAGGGAACGACAGATTAATAAAGCGAAGTGAAAATAAAGCTTTCTTTGAATTGGGGTGGAATGTGTGGAACAGAGGTGGGCAAAATAGGTGAGATAATTGGCTCTGGAAATGAAACCAAGTTTTGTTGAGTGACCTCTTACACTGTCAGATGGGGTTAAATCCATAAGGGTCTATAAACATTGGCCTGCTATGTAGAAAACACGTTTCAATGGCAACTCAGTTATGGGAGAGGTTTTCATTGCGAACTATGAAGCATAAAGAGATTTAAGTAAAGCCTGCCTCAAGGAGTGGGCTGGTATCTCTGATCAGAGCTGGCTGCAAGCTTGAGTAGTGACAATGGGGAAATCTCCAAAAGTGCCAACTCCTACCACCCATCACCCAGGAGAAAATAACTTGTTACTCCCTCCTCACAAGTCCTGAGCTAATTAGCCTATTCAGTTCTTGCAATCCATTTCTCTCCCGTCTGCTCCGTTCATGATGCAAAAATGTCACAGGACTGTCTACTTAAAGATGACCTCTCTAAAGCAGATTTGACTCTATATATTCTTTAAAGGCAATTCTGGTTTTTTTTTTTTTTCTTTTTTTGCAACACTGCTCCAAGAACACTTGGATATAAACAGTAATATCAGCTTGGTCAGGGAAGTGGAAATTCCACTGTTTTTCTTGTTTCATTTAACATTCTTTGACTTGGGAGTGATAGCAAAAATACAAAAATATTATAGAACATTTTCAAAGTCAACTTGCTTTGTAAGTCCCTCTAAAATTCTGTTTGTTCTTCATGTTCATAGCGGTTTTAAAGTGTTAGTCTGTAAAATATTGTATCTACATGTACAATGTATTTTTTTGATAGTCACTCCTAGAACAGGCAAAAAATCAGTCAGGAAAATTAAGTAAGACTGATTTGTGGTTTATTCATATTCTTATGTATACCTGAGATTCTCACATTTGTCACTAATGACAGTAATGAAATAAAAACAAATGAGTTAGTATTTTATCATCTAAATTTCCACCTTTTTCCTGAACCATCTTATATTTCTAGAAAATAGTTACAAGGCAGTCTGAGACCTCAGGGCTTATTGTTGCAAGTGAAAAGCAGGCTGAAAGAAAAGTTAAGTCGTTGAAAATGGTATCTACATTTACTTTCCCTTTTATTTGTATTCTTTGCTCTTGGCTTTAAGTTCTTTTGATTCCAGAAGGAAGAAAACTTTGTGAGTGTGCTGCCAAGCCTCACTTTGCTGTCATGATTGGAAGGTTTGACGGTATCCAGAATTACTCATGAAAGATGGAAGAGCTGCAGCATTACAATGAAAGCCATCTTGCAACAGCCTGAGTTCCTTTTTCTTTTACCTAAGTTAGGAACAAAAAATATTCATGTATGTTCCCCCAAAGGACAAAAAAGGATCCAATGAAAGAACTAGAAAGCTCAGAGCATTTTATTGCTAAATGACACCTAAAATCACTCTCCTGTACCCCTTATATTATAGAAGAGAAAATTAAAACCCAGAATAAGATCAAGAGGTTTTCATTGGTCATTATGATATTAAAGAAGTTTTGAAGCATATGGGTAGCTTTCTCACATCCATATGCTGATCAGACCTCAGCCAAAGACTTCAGGGGAGTCCTCTGCAAATTTCTAGAACTTTTTGTGCAAGTTTTTCCTCTTGGGTTCTCTGCCTTGCAAACTCAAACCACCCAGGCTTTCCTTAGACTCGGCTCTGCCTCCTCATCTCAGAGAGACCCCATATTGGGGCCTGGGAACCCTCCAGGCTGTGAGCTGGACAATGGAGCTCACCTCCATTTTGGTTGTTTCCTCTCTCTTGGCAATCACTCTACTGATGTCCAGTGTTTGAATTTCATTTTTTCATACCTTGTGTTGTTTGTTTGATGTCATTTCCTGCAGGAGGGTAAATCTGGCTCCTGCTGTTCCATCTGCCCTTCAGCTCTGCTTCCCATAAAGGCAGCTCGCTTCACTTCATTTTCAATTTTAATGACTTGTGTTCTATACTATGCCTTTTGTCTACTTTTTGTTCTTGTTGTCGTTGTTGTTATTCTCTTGTTCTTTTTCCAACTTCTTGAGTTTATAGTAAGTAAATTAGCTTTTAGTTTTTCTAAGTCAATTACTGAATGTTTTGAAGTTTTCACTTTGTGTTACTTTATATATTTGAGGCTCATTGTTAAACTCATCCAAGTTCTGAACTGTTATTCTAACTGCAAAGGGATCCCGATCCAGACCCCAAAAGAGGATTCTTGGATCTTGCACAAGAAAGAATTCAGGGCGAGGAGCCCATAAAGCAAAGTGAAAGCATGTTTATTAAGAAAGTAAAGGAATAAAGAATGGCTACTCCATAGGCAGAGAAGCCACAAGGGCTACTGGTTGCCCATTTTTATGATTATTTCTTGATTGTATTGATATGAACGGTAGGCAAGGAAATACTGGATAGAAGAGGTTCCCCAGCCTTTTGGCCCACCACGTCCCCCCTGCCATCCTATACCCATGTAAACCCCAAGCCTCAGGTCCATAAGCAGAAGATCAGAGGATCAGAAGAGAGGTGCAGCATAGAGGGAGAGAAGAGAAGGCACATCTAAATGTCAAGAGGAGTTCAGCTGGGGAAGGTTGGAGAGAAGATAGGCCATGGGACAGCCAAACTCTAGGGGAAGATCATCTTCCCACTCCATCCCCTTTCCAGCTCTCATCCATCCCACTGAGAGCCACCTCCACTCAATAAAACCCCAGCATTAACCAACCTTTAAATCCATGTGTGACCTAATTTTTCCTGGATACCGGACTAGGACCAAACACCAACAGGTCACTGAGCTGGTTAACACTTAAGCCATCTGCGGACAGCAGAGCTAAGAGGCACTGTAACGTGCCCGTTGGGAATTTGGGAGTTGCAGGAATCCACCCTTAGATGCTACCATGGGGCTGGTGCCCAAAAGCACTTTCCCCAACTCCTACACCTGTCCATCTGCATGCTCTCCCTCCCATAAGGGGTTTGAGCACACAGTGGGCAAAGAGACAAGCCACAACACTGTTGGGCATCCTGTGAGCGGTGGGTCGGGTCAGGGAACTCTCTGGTTTCAACATGCAGGACTCCTCTTTTTAGAGCATATAGGGTAACTTCCAGACATTGCCATGGCATTTGTAAACTGTCATGGTGCCGGTGGAAGTGTAGCAATTAGGACAACCAGAGGTCACTCTCGTCACCATCTTGGTTTTGGTGGGTTTTGGCCGGCTTCTTTACTGCAGCTTGTTCAGTCAGCAAGGTCTTTATGACCTGTAACTGGTGCTGACCTCCTATCTCATCTTGTGACTTAGAACGGCTAACTGCCTGGGAATGCAGCCCAGCAGATCTCAGCCTTGTTTTACCAGACCCCTATTCAAGATGGAGGCACTCTGGTTCAAATGCCTCTGACATTACTTCTAAGACGATTTTTTGTCATTACATAGTGGCCTCTTTATCTTTGAGAATGCTTTATCTATTATATATTTATTTGATATTAATATAGCAACATGAGATTTCTATATCTTTACAGACTCCTTACCTATTTATTGGCATATAACACCCATACAACAAAGAATATACAAAGCACTGATCTTAAGATTTTTTTCTAATGTGTACAGTTGTGTACACACCCACTACCCAGATCAAAATAGAGAATATTGCCAGCATCAAAGGAAGACACTAGCATTATTTCAGTTGGTATTTTCCTCATTTGTTTCCATACCTTACTATCAGCTTATCTATTTATGTTTAAAGATTTTACTTTCAAACAGTATGTAACTTTTAGTAAAGTTACAGTACATTGATTGTTACATTAAACCCAAGCCCCTATTTATCAACAACATTCTCCATTCCTATTTTCCCCTTATAGAAAAGTAGATTTACTACATTTATTCAAAGTTTCTGTGTCTGTTGAGGGAGTCTTTAATTATTAATACTAAAAGACTCAATCTGTATTTTCTTTTAGTACTTTCCTGTTTTTAATTTGTATCTTAACCTTAATCGTGTGAAATGTTTTATATTGTAAAGAATGAGTAGTAGAGATCTCTTTTTTTTTCCTGAGTATCTGACAAGTTTTCTGAATACAGTGAACAATCTGTCTTGTTTACTGATTTGAAGGCTGCTTTCTTCATGACACTAAATTATTACATGTATTTGAATTTACAGATAAATTCTGTTGTATTTTACTTATCTAAATATACATTTCTTTACCCAGAATGTTCTTTTAATTAGTGCTTAATATAGCTCTACATTATGATTATAATTCCTAGCTGAAGAAGTTCTCGCTCATTGTTCTTAATTTGCAATTTTTCTGGCTATTAACACAGATTTATTTATTCTTCTAGATGGGGGCTGTTCGACCTTGGCTCTATTGATATTTTGGACTGGATAAATAAAAGTCATTAGTGGGATCCTTCTAATTTCCTCTACTTACTTTTTATAGCTCTGTTTGGTGCCCTCAGGTGGGAATACTGTGCCAACTGCTCAGTACCTTCTTTCTTTTTAGCCCAAAGCAGATACTCTGCAGAGTTTCTTATATGAGGTTGGGGTTGTTTCTTAATTTCAGAGTAGATTATTGTTTATTCTATGCCTCATTCTCAGTTCTTTTTACAAGAACTGTGATTGCCTCTAGCAAGCAGTCTCAAGTACTTTGTATATAAACACACTATTGTCCCCTTCCCCTCACCTCCGCACTTGAAGTTTGTAGAATAAACCACTAAAAATTTCATAGTATCTGAGGAGAATGGACCTCTCCAGATAATGTTTTCTTGGCTGGGGCCAATATATGCACCATGCAGTCAGTCCCCTCTATCTGCCATAGAACTTCATTTACGAAGCGTTGCTTTAATCAGTCTTCACATGGTGGGATGATGCTGGCAAAAGCTGAGGTCTTGCTACACATCTCTTTTCAAAGTTTTCCTTCAATGCCATTTTGCTTTTAGTCATTTTTTCTTTATATTTTCACAGCAGTCATTTATTTCATTTCACTCTATTTGACTCATCCAAATGTTTAACTTGGTTTTATAAATGTAACTTTATTTTCAGGTCAACTATAGACTCAATTTTCTTGTAGTTGCTGGTACAATAGACAAAAAAAAATGTATCAGTCTTATATAATAAAGAAGTTCGGATGAGTGTGTGCGGGAGTGTATGATATAGGAACAAGCAACCAGTATATAACAACATATGCCTGCCCTCTGTGCTTTTAATACTTGTTAGTTTTGGTTTCTATGAGTATCTTGAAGGTTCTGGAATATATATCCAAATTTCCTTCTAAAAGATTGTGCCAAGTTACACTACCATAACAACAATAAGAATTCACTGCAGTCTTAGCACATTGGATATTATATTAAAATATAACATTGTAAGTATAGCTAATGAAGAAATTTTATATTGTTTTAATTTCCATTTTAAAAAGCAGTGAGGCTAAAAATGATGCAATTTGAAACACGTGCGTAAGTTGAATAGAAGTTTATTAGCCTGGAGGTGGAGTGAATTTTGAACAAGTTAAATGTTTTGAAAACAGTATGAATGTACTGAATATTTTTGATTGCTCTAGCAAATTGTATAGGTCATAAGAAAATGCTTGAACCTTTCCAAACAGTCATTATATGAGTTTGTTCTCATGCTGCTATAAAGAACTGCCTAAAACTGGGTAATTTACAAAGAAAATAGGTTTTATTGACTCACAGTTCTGCATGGCTGAGAAAGCTTCAGGAGGCTTACAATCATGGCAGAAGGGGAAGCAAACACATCCTTCTTCATATGATGGTAGAAGTAAAGGGGGAAGCCCCATCAGACCTCGTGAGAATTTACTTACTATCATGAAAATAGCATGGGGAAAACCACCCCAATGATTAAATTACCTTCCACTGGGTTCCTCCCACAACACGTAGGGATTGTGGGAACTACAATTCAAGATGAGATTTGGGCAGAGACACAGCCAAACCACATCATTATGCCCCTGGCCCCTCCCAAATCTCATGTCCTCACATTTCAAAACACAATCATGCCTTCCAACAGTCTCCCAAAATCTTAAGTCGTTCTAGTATTAATTCAAAAGTCCAAGTCCAAAGTCTCATCTGAGACAAGGCAAGTCCCTTCCATCTATGAGCCTGTAAAATCGAAAGCAAATTAGTTATTTCCCAGATATGATGGGGGTATAGACATTTGTTAAATGCGCCCATTCCAAATATGAGAAATTGGCCAAAACACAGTGGCTACAGGCCCATGCAAGTTTTCAGTCCAGTGGGGCAGTAATTAAATCTTAAAACACCTAAATAATCTCTTTTGACTCTATGTCTCACATCCAGGTAATG